CTCAGCACCCAGTCCAAAGAGCTCATTTATTTTATCGACTCCAGCCTGAGGTGAGCCTGAGCGAGGTCAGCTCCATGGCCCTGGGTTCCGCCCACCCTGGGAAGAGTTGGCCTGCCCTGAAAGTCATGTTTCTTTAGTCAAACAGGGAGAGTGAAGAAACTGTCAAAGGCAGTTTCAAAAAGCCCAGGGAAACAAGCCCAAGTTAATGCCCACTACCAGAGGGGAGAAACAGCACGAGTTCAGGGCTCCCCCATCACTCTCTTTTAAAGTTAATGTGAAGGGAGGCAGCATCTTGCAGCAGTCACAGCACAGGGCCACAGGTATGTGCTGCTCTCAGCACTGGAGTGGCTGACCGACCAGGGCTTCTAGAACGTCCTTGGTAGCACGGCAGTTCCAAGATGTGCCTATCTATTTTCTCTTTCACGAAGGGGATGACAGCCCCAACCAGGCTGGAAAGAAACGTCACCTTGCCTCCAAGCCCCTCTCTGCTGTGAGTGTGACTAATTTCTCCGCCAGCTGAAGGACGGGAACTACAGCCTACAGACCTTGTCTCCATTCTGGCCACTTACTCTCTCATGGTGACCTCCATCTACCTCCCTCTTACAGCCTCGGGCCCCACCATCCTCCACGAGCTTTGTAACAGGCAGTGTCACCGCATCTCAGGTCCGGTACATCCGGAGTCGCTGAGGCTGCTGCCCCATTGGCACCAATGGGTGGGGAAACGCAGCGAGGAGGCACCCCTCTCACAGGGCCCCAGAGACCCTGACACACTCATCCACCGGGCAACAGACTTGCCCGGCTCCTAGCGCTCCTACCTGCCCTGGTAGAAAAAGAAAACGTAGGTGAGATGGAAGTGTGGACTCATAGCTCTCACTGGAGCAGAGACACCCAGTTCATGGTAAGCACCTGGGTGATAAAAAGGGAACAGGTGTTCTGAGGAAGAGCGAGTTGTGGTCTCCACATTGTAAAATCAAGTTTTATGCCCCAAAGGTGCAAGTATATTCATAGTTGGTTAAGGCCCTGTTAGTGGATTCTACCGTATTACGAAGAGTGAATTTTTGAACCTAGAATCCTACTTTTAAAACATTTCTTAGAGCTCACTTGGAGGAAAATGGACCTCGTGGACCAAATGGTTATTGTTCGTTCGTCTGACAAGCGTCCTCTCCGTTAGCCTTCCCGTTATTCAGGGGCTCGTATGAGCTGCTCGTCTCGCCATTGCTTCTCACCTGTACCGGGGTCCTTTGCTTTTATTACTTATATTTATTAACCCTTTCCTGGCAGCCTTCTCCACTAAATTCCTACTGAGTCATACTTATTTTCTAATTAGTCAACATTTATTCATCTTTTAATTTATACATTTTAAAAGTTTAGAGGGACATTTAAACGCCTTGTGGTCTGGAGACAGCCGAGGAATGTAGCTGCAAAAAAGAGTGTGTTCTTTTTTGTTTTACTTTTTCTTATTGAAAGACTCGCACTTGTTCAATTGCGCTCATGTTAACGGCAGGTCCTGCTTAGGTTAGAAAGCAAGACTCCTGCAGACTTTCGTACTTGGAATAATCTGGTTGCCACCATTATTTTGACAAGGAAGGCCAATGCTTCTTCACAGAGTTAAATAAATGAGTTACTGGGTGTTCTGATAAGTCAATAATGTCAGTGTATTTACCTACTCAGAAAACGCTGCTAAAAGTGGCTAGAAGATAATTAGTGAACATTCTCACCTTCACATGAAAACTGGCCTGATTTCAACTCACGCCCAGGCTTTTAGGGGAGAGCAGGAAAGAGGGGCAATGGGATTGTTTGTATCCCACTTGGACCAAAACCGGAAGTCTATGAGTAATGTTCGCTGTACATCCTTGCTCACTGTGCATGCTAAGGAGTGTCACATCCCAGGGACTGTCCATGTCACAATCTCAAGTAAAAATGGCGACATGTTTGCCTGCATTAATTCCAGTTAGAACTGGAGGGAGTTTCTATGCACATTGGGAGGATTGCGCAAGCAAGCCCACAGGTACGCTTGGCTGGAACCCCACGTCCAGAAACGCGTGTCTTGATACGCGAGACATTTGCATCCTTGTTGGGAATTTAAAGAGATGGAAAATCTCGTCATTACTTTTTTTCTTACAACTGGTTATGTGGCAAACAGTCTGTAAGAGACAACTAAATACATCTGACTTTTAAAGGAGATGGTCATAAGCTTTAGCTACCTTGAGAGGCAGGATAATTAGCTTAAAAAAAAAAGTTAACCCCTCAGTCAGTATGCCTGGGCTCAGGTGGGTTTCTCAGCGCCCCCTCCGCCTCAGGTGAGCAGCAGCACCGGCGTTACCATGAACATAAGACGCGGTACCTTTTCTCCATAGCCCCTGTCTTTGGTCATCATTTCTCGGAGCGTCTGCAGGACCTTGATGCAGAGTTTCTCCTCGTTCTCCTCCAGCAGCTGTTTAGTGTGCTTGATTAACCTGGATGGGCAGAGGGGGCACCCATTACATCCCTGGTCAGTTAAGGAACAGATACTTATCAAGGGCTTCCAGGCGAACCACGCCCGGGGCATTCAGGGCACTGAGTTAGCGACGGTGTCTCAACAGCGACATCTGCTGGTCGGTCACAGCACACACGCCCGCTGGGCAGGCGACGGCCCCACCAGGTGGAGAGGACCGGGGTGGGAGGCAGAGGAAGGGCAGCTGTTTATCCACTAAGGATTGCCCGGAACATGGCTAAAATGTGCCAGCAGTGCCAAAAAGGCCTCATGAGGACCACGGTGGGGACGAGCAGACACTGTCCCATGGTCCACGTCTCATCCTTCGAGAGGCCCAGAGAAGGCAGCTAAGGGCAGAGCCCGCTGTCAAGTCCAGCAAACCACCAGCCTTTAGGGTAAAAATCACACGGAGGTTTCCGCTCATGGAGCCGGGTGTTTCTCTTAGATCACGCCTCAAGGCATAAACGCGGAAACTACCAAGTTCTTAGGAAAAGGCTGTGAGGACCTGGAAGGTCCCCGACTTTTCAGAGCTGAGGGTCATGACCTTTCGGGGTTCTGTGTTGTGGCGCCCAGTGGGCGCTCTGTCAGTGCTTGTTGAACGAAAGACAGACGGATGAGCGAGCCGTTAAAAGGAGGCGTTCTCACCAGAACCACAGTGAACCTCCAAACCCACTTTGGGAAGGTTTGAACAGGACTCAAAGCCAAAAGTGTCCCCTTCTTCCGGAACCACTGCTTTGGCTGGTCCCCAGGACTCTGCGACGGCCCACCCCAGAGAGCGAGGCCACTTACTTGCAAATAAAGCCGCCGCTTTCACACTTCCTTCTGGCGTCTGTGTTCTCTGGGAAGAGCAGCTCGGGTCTGTGGAGCACATCCACAAGCACAGACAGCTCGGCCTGGACCAGGGGCCTTAGACGGTCCTCCAGCGCCGACACGATGTCCTGTAAGGAAGCACAGCCTGGGTGAGCAGCTCAGCCCCACGCGGACTCGGGGACAGTCAGAATAGTCATGTCTGACCTAAAACACGGCCACGCACTAGGCTGGGTTAGAGGAACGTGACGACCGTCTGGCATTTACCTCAGGATATTAGACGTTGCCCAGTGGTTACCTGAAGCATTAGCCCCGAGGCAGCAAACAGAGCAGAAACAGGTCGCCATTCCCACCAGCCCTTCCTTCAACATGGCCTTTACGCTACTCAAGGGATCATTCCAGAGACTTAAAAATATGATGCAAAAGATACATTCGACCACATGGAAAGATGTCTATGATATGAGTACAAAAAATGGTCAAACAATAGTATGGACTGTATAATTCGATTTTTATAAACAACATCGGTATCGAAAGGATATCCATCAATTATTTATTAAGACATCCCTAGTGGTTTTCTCTGGGTGGTGGGACTACAGAAGATTCTAATTTTCTGTTATATACTGGTACTTGTGAGTACTGTCAAATTACTTTCAACAAGCATGAGTTATTCAAATAAAAAATCATAAAAATGAGAACACAAATGAACATGCTGTATCAACATGCTAAATACATGTACCCTGATAGCATGATGGTCTTCAAATGCAAAACACACAGCTGCAGGAAAGGAGAACAGAGAGAAGTTGAAAGAGCAGCAAAACTAACACAACAAACACCGTATAAGGCAAATGGCAGAAAACAGATGAGAAACCTATCTCCAAAAGATGCTGCCGTTGGCATGGTACCTGAGAACCTAGCTCGGGGGGCATCCTGGCTCAGACAGAGGCAGAACACAGCACCCTGGGTAATGCAGGAGGACCCGGTTAACCAAGGCGATTTGCATCGAAAAAGCCACTTAAATTGCATTTACCCCAACTAGGGACCCAAATTTCATAGGTAATGGTCAGTGGAGAGCCGATTGATCTTTCATCAAACAATAAAACATGTGAATATAATTTTACTTTAGCTTACATGTAATCAAATTTATAATTACTCAGTATTTAGGATGCATGAAAAATTCATGAATGAATCAAGCGATCTTTGGTGGGGGGGGGGCAATTTTCCCCTGAGGTTGTAAGAGTACACTGCAGCGTTCCTTAATTCATATTGACTTTCACAGCACAAAGAAGGGTCATTTTTGCAAAATTCTCAGGGTTTCATCAGCTTTCCCCAGTTTCCGCTTTGAAAGCACCCAATTTTCTCTTCTTCAGTAGTGACTGGTCCTAACTTGCAGATCTTTATTTGTCTACAGCATTTGATGGGATTGGAGTAGTTCTTCAACATCATGTTCATGGAATCCTGCATCTTTTGCAAGGTTTGAACTTTACATTGCAATTGATTTGCATTTTACCGCCAAATGTGTAACATTCGGCAATCGGAGTGACCAACAGACAAGGATGGCGAAGCGATGGGCAGGGAAAGATGCTAGTGTTAAGTGACGGGGATGTGTGAATGGGGATTAATCACAAGTGGTCCGTCTGCAAGTGAACGTTCTTACATTACAACAATGGTTGCTGTCCTGGAAATCGCACAACTCCGGGGACTCAGGTAGTAACTTATTAGATAATGGGGGCCCTTTTAGCCACTGGCCAACTCTTGACAACAAGCAATATTGTACTTCTTTTATTTCACTCCCCAAGAATATGCAAAATAAATCTAAGAAGAGCACAAGAAACGGGTGTGTCTGGTTGCAGAGTTTAGTTGGAGCAGGCAAGAAAGTACTGGGTGTCCTACAGTTATGTGTCTACCATGTCCCTCCTCTTTCGAAAAGCACGGTGAGGCCAAGCAGCCTTCCTCAGGGGCCACGTCCCTTTGAGGCCCAGAGCTGCCCAGCAGGGCTGACAGTCTTCCTGGACCCGGGAGGGCTCCTTGGGCTCCAGCCACACTAACCTTCCTTTCGTCTCTGAATGCGCCCTCTTCTCTTCTGTGCTGTGGTCTACGTGTTTGTCTCCTTCCTATTTTTCTTCTTTAAGTCAGTCCTCCATTTCCCTGGTCTTGGCTCACATGTAACTTCCTCAGCGAAGCCTTCCCGGATCCGCACCCCAGCCCCAGGCAAGACCAGCTTCCTCGGCAGCCTCTCCTGGCACCACTCCCTGGTCTGCAGCATGAGCCTCTTGTCATCTGACCTTCATCTGTGTGATTAGCTAATGTCTGCCTCCCTTTCCAAATCGGAGACTCTACGAACACAGAGATGGTCTCTGGTTTGGCTCCCCCTGTATCCTCAGTGGGGCTGATGATGGATCAGGGAGCTCGTCCCCATTTCGGTAAGTTACGTAACCCCACAGACTCACTTACTTCACCTCATGATAGTTATTATAGTCACCACAGTAATGACAAGACAGTAACAAATTATAACAGCAGCGCTCACTGACCGAGTGGTCAGCACCTGCCAGGCACTGATCTGTGCACTTTACGTGTATTCTGTTTTCCAAAGACGGCCACCGCCACATGTCCTATCTCGCACCTTCCTCTAACAAGGTGTCACTGACATCCCTGCCATGAAATGGTGGTCTATGTCCCCGCTCTTGGAACCTGAGTGGACCTCTGTGACTGCCTCAACTAAGCAGGTATGACAGAAGTGACTTCTGAAGCTAGGTCACAGAAGCAATACAGTTTTTACTAGTCTGGAGACACGCCTCTTGGAATCAGCTATGTTGTGAGCCCAGAGCCCATGGGGAGGCCACATGGAGACGGTTCCATCAGCGGAGGCCCCGGCTGACAATCAGCATCGACTGCCAAACATGTGACTGAGCGCGGTTTCCAGGTGAGTCCCACCACAGCCACCACTGGAGTGCAGCCACACACAAGACCCCGAGCAGGGGACGTCTCGGAACCCAGTCAGCCTCCAGGACAGTGAAAGAGTGAAGTCACTGCTACCGTGACTGGCTGTGCAGGCGCAGACACCTGGAACGTGTTATCAATGCTCTTGAGTCCTCACATTGACCCCACGAGGTAGGTGTCACTATTATCCTGTTGTGTGCATTAGGACACCAGAGCTCTGAGAAGTGCAGTGAGTCTCCCAAGGTTACACCACGTCTACGCAGCAGACACGGGATCTGAGCACTGGCCTGAGGCCCGGGTCTTAACCACTGCGCCAGCTCATTCGAAGGGCCGGTGACTCTGTGAGAGAATCACCTGAGGTGCTTGTTAAAATGATGTTAAGACGGACGTTTAAGTGTTTGACATCCACCTAATACTCACTACTCTCCCCAGTAACAAAGGGAGAGCAGATTTCTTCGTAGGTGCCAAGAACAAAGAGTGTAATCTAGCTAGACTTTAATACCACTTGTATTTTCATTTGGCTCATTCCGATATAAAGCTCTTCTCTCGGGATTATTACACTTGTTTACCTGCTGATTCAAGAGGCGGAATACCCCAGGGTGATGGGAGAATGGAACGCTTATGCCCTTATGCTAAGCACCCTCTTGTAACTCTCGAGTCTGCCTTCCTAGTAAGAGCAGAGCCCCTGTTCTTTATAGAGCAATCTGCGAATCTGTGAGGCCCTGGGAAGGCGATGACTTCGTCAGGAGCTTTGCTCTTCCTAAGTGGCTCTGCCCTCCTGGTCCCACACACATGACTGCGTTTGACTATCCGCTGGCCACACTGGCCTCTGCCCCCAGGGCCACTCTTGGACTCTCTCTGCTGTGAGTGGGCAGCGCCCCAGGCCAGGTCAAGGGTCACTTCTCTCAGCACCATCATTACCTGCAATCTCTCAATGATGTTCCGGTAGTCTCTGGAAGCTGCCAGAACTGAGTCTCTGCGCGCCGCGTTGCGGGCGGACAGCCGCCAGTTCATGGCCGTTTTCTGCACGATGTTGTGAGACTTGAGGAAGAGGTTGTTGACCTGGCTGTCCAGGTCCACGGGGATGGCGATGGCCCGGCTCTTGGCTGTTCAGGAGGAGAAGACATGCGAGCCTCCACTCTCAGGCAGGTGCCTGGAGACAGACTAGCCCCTCCACCCACCAGGCAACTTTGCCACATGTCACAGGTCAGCCTGCGTGATGCTGAGTGTGAGTGCTGACGAGTGCACCTCAACCCTGTCACACTTCAGGTGCCGGTTTTCCTGTGTGAGTTCTGGGTGTGTGTGGGGGGTGGGGGTAACAGCTCTGAGGGATGTTAAAACGCTCTGAGGTTACATGGTTTAGGCAAGTTCAAGTTCAATGGGTTTTTCAACAAACGGCTTAAGGCCTCCACGGTGTTCATGTAGTTTAAGAGTTATCAAAACAGGGCGCTCATTTGGTCAATCAACTATTTTTCCAAAAATTCTCTTTCAGGTTTGGTGTTCTGTACAGCAATCTACAAAATGCCAACATAAGCCAAGCATAAGAATGTCTACAAGGTATAAGCTAGTCTTTCCAGGTAGGCTCTTCTTTTCCCCTCTAAAAATAAGTCTAATCGTTAGAAAAACGTCAGTCAAATCCTCAGTGGGGGACATTCGACAGGACACGTCAAGTCCTCAAGGCTGTCAAGGTCATGAACAAGGAAAGTCTGAGAAACTGTCACAGACCAGAGGAGACCAGGGAGGCATGGCAACTAAATGCAACGTGGTCGCCTAGATTGAATTGTGGGACAGAAAAAGGACATCAGGGGAAAAAGTGGTGAAAACCAAATCAGGCGTAGTTAACAGCAATGCGCCAAAGCCAGCTTCTCAGTTCTGACCGTTGTTACCCTGGTGATGTACATAAGATACTGACAGTGGGGGAACGGGGTGAGGGTATATGGGAATGCTCTGTTATCTGGGTAAGTTTCCTATAAACTAAAATGATTCCAAAATAAAAAGTTCATTTAAAAAGAGAAGACAGGTGAGACTAACAACCCTTTTTTCCATATGGGAAATCTACCAGCCTCCGAAAAACCAGACAACTACTTCCGGCCCTCAATGCTTAATAACACTACAAGCAGAGAATGTGCATCTAATTGTGAAAATAGCTCCAGCCCTCTGGAAGAGGACCCTGCGAAGCAACTGTTTCAATCCCAATAAAATCACAATTTAGGGCAAGGAAGCATCAGCCAGCCAACAAATTTCTAATAATTTAATATAGAAGGTGGGGAATTTGGGAAAAAACCCACAAAACCAATAGTATAAAAAGCAGGACGCACGGGATACACTCATCTCAGCTAGAAACTATGGGCCTGGGATGCTCTTGTCAAGCTAAACAATGAAAACAGTGGACTCTGGGTGTCATCTTACCAGGAGGGGGTATTCCCCAAGGGGCACAGGCTGAGTTCCTGAGTTAACGGGTTATTTTCATGCCCTTTCACGCTCCTTGTCTTTTTCTCCTCACTGCCGAGGCTACTAAAACATTTCCTCTCTCTCACAAGCATGGAGCTGGTCAACTTGGGGACTTGCCCAAATTTTAACCAACAACTTCTGATGTACGATCATGTGAGGGCAGAGCAGAGGGGTTTCTGGGGACGCCATCCCCGAGCCCTGTTCCTGAGACAGCACATCATGAACCTGTAATGTACACACTTCCAAAAGCCCCCTCTCTTCTTGTGAAACAGTGCCACATCAATGATAAAGAGACCCCAACACCTAGCACACGGGAGCACAGGAAATCAGGCAAATGAGCCCTAACGAGCACCGCCATCCAGGCTTGCTGGGTGGCCACTAGGCAGTCTGCGGACCCCACCTGTCTGTGTGGTGCCTTCTGCAGGGATCTGAAGAGCTACTATAGGCAGATAACGTCTCACATTTAGGCAGGATGACCATCCCTTCACATGACATTTATGGGGGGTGGGAGCGGGGGGGGGGCGGGAATGGGGCAAAGTAATGGAGTCTGATAAAGCCAGCTGAAGGGAGCAGTCATTTTCCCAACCTCCTTTCAGAGCTGCCTATGAAGGAGCTACGTGACAGGAGGGAGGAGGAAATGGAGACCCGATGATCACCGAGAGCCACTGTTTCTGAGAAAGGGTGTTCCTCGGGACAGACGTGTGCTTTGCAGGAAATCAAGTTCCCATATGGTCAGATGCATTTACCGGATTACACAAATGAGTTTCCCGAAGGAGGGACTTCCCAGGGCCTTGAACAAGCTTGTGTGTCCTGGGACTTGCCAGGAGTTGCCTAATGTTTAGCCCTGGAATCTTGTTTCTCAGAGCCCATCTGTCTTTGGGACTGGCTGGCTCTTCATGTTGGAAGAGGCTGGCTCGGTAGATGAAAGCAAGGGTTAAGGGGTCGAGACCTCGGTGCTGGGTCTGGCGCTGCAACTCCCGGTGTGCGGGAGCCTCAGATGGGCCACGCCAAGCGCTCACAAAACGGCGGCCTTGATTACCGGCGGGCCATGCTTCTTCATCACGCTCAGTCCTAACTGAGCCGACAGCTTACCTACGTCGGACAGCACCCGAATACAGCTCTCCACCGAGGCTTTCTGGCTCGGCGCCAGCCAGTTGCAGTGGTAAACCCGGAACACGCCTTGCAGCAGCTGCACGAAGACAGGCTGGCGAGTCTGAAAGAGAGGGGCCGAGGGAGGCTGCTGGTGGATTCCTGATGCACCGACAGGAAACAGACACTGCCCCGAACCGTGGGTTAGTGGGCCCACATGCAAGGGTGGGAAGGGGCCGCGGTGACGAGCTGGATTCCAGAAGTTGCCCGGCCAAGGGAGAAAATGTCAGCAGCACTTTAAGGCAACGCACAGACTTGATGCTATCTCAGTCTGACCACAAGAAGAGGCGGTGGGAGCAAAGCCCGAAAACTGGTCTTGTCCAGTTACCGACTGGCTGTGTGACCTGAAGCAAATCGCTTCGCCTATCTGAGCCTTAGCTCTGTTCAGTATATAAGGAAGCTGAGGCAGGTGAACCCCAAAGTTCTTTCCAGACATTCTATCCTATGAGTAGAACCTATATTTTTAATCGGCAAAAACAAACTGATAAGTGGATCTCACCGAGAATGGGCCTTACTTTTTTATTTCTGGCAGTGTCTTCAATGATACAAAGAGGAAATTCTAATGGCTGCTTTTTATAAGTAATTTACTTAACTGTTAACACATGGCAGTCTTTAGTCCTCTCTACGATGGTATAAATTTGTACTCATTTTAAAATGAGAACTCAAACATCTACCTCATCAATTTGACAGTGACTTTCTGAGTGTATTTCAAAGTTATAATTCTGGTCTCCATCCAGAACAACCTGGGTTAGGGTGGCGTTGGACCCGCAAAGAAAGGTCACTGTGGATGGTGAGCGGCTCCACTGGTCTTTAGTTCTAGGGGAGAAGACTCACATAGCCCCTCAAAAAAAAAAAAACCAAACAGTGGGAGTTCATACAGAAAAAAAAAAGTACTGAAAAACTCTAGAGAGGATGCCAAGATGAACAAAAAACAACTGAGAGTGAAATCTATTACAAGAAAAACAAAACAAAACAGGCTAATCAAAATTCACAGCCTCCTCTATGTACACTATTAAGTGCTACACACTCCACGTGGGCCCAGATGACAATCCTATGACGTGGCAGCTACCTTCACAATAAAGGTTCTAGGAATCCATAAGCTCCCCCTAAAAAAACAAACAAACTATAACCCCGACTTGGACTTCATATTCTATACATGTGTAGAGAAACGTGCTAGCGTTTTAGAACACTTCTACTGAAGCTTTCATCTCTGACAATTCCTGCTTACTACTTGGGTCACAACTGGTTTCAGAGGCAGGCAGTGCAAGCAGAGAGGAGTGGCCAACAAGAAAAACCAGAGCCCTAGTTCCTGCTTGACAGTTTCCCAATGATTTTGATGGGTTTACTTTGACATTTTGGTTTTGCAATGCTGTTTTACAGTCTTACGGGAGATGTGGGCAGTCGCCATGGCGATTGTCACTTTCAATTACTAGAGAGGCGAGTCCAACCTTATTCACCAAAGCAGCTTTCGTGGCTGGCTCTCGGGACAGGGATACTTGGTAGGGACCATGTCCTGGTCTCCAGTAACGTACATGCTTGGGATCTGACAAGTTCCCGTCCCCCAATTACTCAGAGTATGTACACCCATTCAAAAGGCCGCATTCTCACTGTATGATACTTTAGCCAAATTGCTAGCTTTTATTGTTGTTGCTAAACTAAATAGAAGGTTTACCCACAGTCTCTAGGAAAGCACATCTCCCTAAGCATTTCATAATTCAAGTTTTAGTCACAGAGAATTGGGTTGAAGTCATGGTTAAACTACTTAATAGTTGTGCCCATGGCTGACATGGTAATTAAACCCTCTGTGCCTCAGTTTACTCAGCTGTACAATGGGGGTAATACCATCTACTTCATAGGCTGTACTAAGCTTATATGAATTCCCTTGCATGGTTAATGGACTAAAGCCGTATCTAATTAATATGTCATCAATGGTTAGAGTAGTCATGAACCATCAGCCCCAGGACAGCCTCCATCTCTCTCCATGACCAGGATACTTAATATTCCTCTTCTGGCCACTGGAGAGTGAGCCCATGGAGCCCTGCAGTGGAGTGACCATGAAGTGACTTCTCACTCCAGCTGGGAGACACTTCTGATGAGCCTGAGTCTCATGCTCGGAGCTAAATCGGAGATTTCCAGGGTTGTTTTTTTTTTTTAAGTGTTAATAATGTTAGCACCTGAGACCTACTTCTCTAAGATTGGAGGGAGGGATGGACAAGACTACGGTCTAGGGGTGAGGGGAAGAAGACATCCTAAGGAGAAAATCAACCACCAATGAAAGCACCTGGTAGGGGAGCCTCACAGGTTCGCCTGCTGCCTGGGCTCCTGTACCCTCCACAGGGAAGCAGCCCGCGATCCCGCTTGGCACGGCGGCTCGCGAGCTCAGGCAGCTCGGCCTACAAAGGCCCATCCTGGACCCCCTTCACCTGCGCATTCTCACCTGCAAAGTCGTGCTCTGGTCTGAGAAGGGGGAACTGAAAAACGTGGTCACGATGCTCATGACAATCTCAGTCACGTACTTCTCCAAAATCGAGTCTGCGTGCTTCCGGTCACTCGTGTTGTTACAGGCCTGCAGGGCAATCGGAAGTTTTAAACATGACACCAAAGCCTGCACCTCAGCTGTGACATTAAGCCGTCTGTGACCATTCCTGCTGCTCAACTTTAGCCAAGGGGAGGGGGAGGCCTGCAGGTCATTTGGTCTCCGCTGAAGAAACAGCCATAATAACCAAACAGACCATGCAAGAACCAGGTTAACTCAGATATTCCAGAGAGAATCACATGACATTAAAACTGGCGTGGGACTCACAGGGCCACGGCTTCCCGATTCCTACCCATGTGCGGCACATCCGAACCCCCAAAAGGCGGGCGGAGACATAACAACTACAGTTGCCTGAATTTTCCCCAAAGTAAACCACGCTGCCGTTTCAGCCCGTCATCTGGTGCAGGCCGTGCGTCCCTAGTCCACGTCCTCCAGAGAACCAAGTGTATCGGTGAGCCCACTGCACAGAATTCCTCCAAACCCACCACACGCCCCCGTCATTAACACCTTTCCCGACAGGCAGTGCTGCTGCCAAGGAGGGCCGGAGTCACAATGGCTGACTGCACAGGTCTGGGGTGAGGACACGCTTCGAATTTCACTTGGACCCAACTGAATTTTGCTGCTCAGAATAAGATTGGACATTTAAAAGAACAGGTTTAGAAATACAGTTTTAAAAATCGAATTGTACTACCAAATTCATTAGTCCTGTAATTTCAGATACAAAATTGCTTACAATCAAAAAAATATGAAGCAAAGGGGGAAAAAAAATCAAGTTTTATTCACTGACTACCATGATCTGAGCCCAAGGCCCAGTAGCTGGTGGACACATTCAGAGAACAACATTAGTAACTGACTTGACAGCATTCTGAACAATTCAATGCAGAGCTCGCCAAGTTAAGGCCTGGTGGCTGCTTTTATAAATAAAGTTTTATTGGAACACAGCCATGACCATTTGTTTACATACTGTCACGGCTGCTTTCATGCTTCCAGGGCAGAGTTGAGTAGTTGTGACAGAGACCAGATGGCCCACAAAGCCAAACACATTTACTATCTGGCCCTTTATGAAAACCTTTTCCTAACCCTGATTTAAAGAAACAAATCAGGCCTTCCATTCCAATCTAAAACCCCAGAATTAGGTGATTAAAAGATGAGGAGGTTTGAAATTTCAAAAATAAACCGGGGGTGCCAAAAAAACGTACATGTTTTAAGAGATGTTATCTCTGTATTACTTCTCAAAGTTGAATTGAATCACGGTAGCAATGTGTAGTATGACGTTCGCTCAAAAGATGGAGTTAATCAAATGAATGCTAGCGTCATTCACTGCGTTACAATTTTAAGTTTTTTCCTTTATTAAAATGTGTATATGTTTGTTTTGGCACCTTCTGTGTATATGTGTCTGTGGCATCAACATCTGAATATCATTAAATACAGTCCTCAGTTGGCAGCAATATCCACTCTTGCAGGTTCCTCGCCTCACACTGGTAACTGCGGAGTTAGGCAGAAAATGCTGCGTTCTAGGATTCTACAATGCTCCTTTTTTCTTTTTAATACCACACTTCTGGAACTGGGATTCATCTCACAATTATTCTCCGAAGAACCTTGTTGCTCCCGCTCCCCCAACTCCATATTACGTCCACGGGATGCAGTAGTCTTGTGGCTTCAGAAGGAATATTAAGCTCAGTGCAAAGCCAAACTGACAGCATGTGACGCCCGCCCCACCTGCGGGTCAGGGAAGCAGCCGACGGAAAGTGAAGGCTTTGCAGAGTCCTCGACACCTCCCTGCAGGAGACAGATGCTCTCCTTTGAGGACATATTGTCAAGGAAAAGAAAACTTTATGAATTCGGTTTTAGTATGTCCCAGGTGATCATTCACACACCAATGCATAAAGGACGAAATGAAAGCCAGAATTAACCTGTCTTGCTGGAAGCTTGATGAATAAACTCTATTCTCAGCTAAGAGAAGAAAGAAATGAGACGTGTGAAAGGATAAGAGCCCCGTCGGCCCCGTTGGGCCGTGAATCAGCAAGCTGGAAACAGGAGGCTGCCTTCCTCATGCCTACACAGGGACGCCCGGACACGCACACAGCGTAATGCTGCCTCCTTACCCTGCAGATGTCCACGAGGAAACTCTCAAACAGTTTCCACATGTGATTGCTGGTGTAAATCTCCTTCATCTCCACCTCTGTATCCACATAGCAGTGATTCAGGAAGTTAATGTACGCGATCTTGACCTGGAAGACAGGAGCAGGCTTCTGTGAACAGCCTGCCAGCTGTCCGTGCAACTGGTCAGCTGCCTCGTGTCAGTAGTGAGCTGGATGCACCCAGCGGTCATTCAGTTGCCCCTGCCGGCTCTCATTTCCGTGATCTTCTGATATTGAAAATTCACATTTATAAAATTCAAAACCATAAAGCTTTTGGAAGAAGACAATTTCATGACCTCAAGGCAAAGAACAGCATGAAAAACTTGGACCGCAGAAGAGGCGACGGGCAAGCGTGACTACATTAAACTTAAGGATGTCTGTTCAGGGAAAAGCACCATTAAGAGAGTCAAATGGCATGGGCTGGGAGGAGCTATCTGCAACGCACACCCCAGTGAAGGGTTCCTACAACGTGTGCACGTAAGATGAAAACTCCAAGAGAAAAAAAAACAGGCAAAAAGTTTGATCCGATATTTTCTGAAAGGAATAGCAAATGACGAAAACAAAACCCAAAGGAGTTCAGCCTCATTTAGTAATTGAGGAAGTAGAATTAAAGCCACTGTGCGATATCACTCCCACCAGACTGAGAAACAAAACAAAGGGTCTGACAGTACTAAGAGTTGGCGGGGCTGTGGAGTAGTGAGAGCTTCGGGGAAGGCCGATGGCAGCTGGAGCAGCCTCTGGAAAGCCACTCGGCTTTATCGTGTCAAATGGAAGACACGCAGCCCTGTGAGCCAGCACTGCCCCTCCTGAGAGTACACCTGGAGAGGTCCACGTGGCCAGGACACATGCGCCGCCCCTCAGAGCATCATTGCTGTGGTCCTAAAAGGCAAAAACTGGAAACAGCTGACGAGAGCATCAAGAGACGAATGGAAGCTCCTATCATGGACCAAAAACACAGAGGCACACTCTGAAGCGAAGGAAATGAACACAGCCGTATACTCAAGATGGAGGAAACTCAGCAATGCAAAGCTACACTTTCAAAGGCACAAAATAATATGTAAGAGAAATTTGAAAATTGCAGAACTAAATTATGTTGTTTGGAGACGTATAAGGAAAAGCACCTATGGGGTTACATAAACGTGGTTCCCGGCTGCCTTCAGGAGGGAGCGCTCTGGGGTGGGCTGGGGACGGGAAAAGGTCATAGGGGAGGTTTTGTCCTATTACCTGACCTGGGTGGGGGGTACACGGCTGTTCTCTTCGTAATTATTCTTATACTATACAACTGAGATTTATGTATCTTCCTGCACTTACGTTGTATTTCAAACAAAAATGAATAATAAAAGAAAAGCTAGTATTATACCTCCCTCATCCGTAATAAGAAAAATGCAAATTAAAACTATGTTGAAATAGCATTTTCATCTATCAGGTATATGACAATTCAAAAGTCTGATAGGGTCCTGGCACAAGGCTATGAGAAAAATACAATCTCATTATTTTCTTATTCTGATTATTATTATCTTATCATTATAAATTGGTTCAACATTCATGGAGGGCAATAACAGTACATCCATACAATGGAATTTTACGTAACTATAAAAAAGAATGTGGACTCTCTTTATGGACTGGTAAGAAAAGAAGACTAGTAGACCTAGAATATCACCTTTTGTGTTAAAAAAACAGGGGCAGGGGAATAAAGTATGTATATGTTTGTATTTGTTTATAAGCAAAACTCTGGAAGGATATACACAAATGTAATAAATGGCTGTCTGTGGGGTAAGGGGAACTGATTCGGAGATTTTTCATAGTTTAATCCTTCATGGTGCTTGCTATTTCAACTCTTCAAAGTGTATTAACTGTTCAAAACATTAACCTAAAAACATAATTTATACTACATATGCTAGATATAAATATGTATATATTAAGTTTAAAATATAAACGAATAGTATATACTTTAAAGCATCCAGGATAAAATGTGCAGTGTAGGGCCCGTTTTGTTGTTACTAGCCAACATATAAGAACAGGGAAAAGGAAGCCTGGAGGGAATCACTTCCAACACCTAACAGGTATTTATTACGGGTGGTGGGATCGCAGATAATTTTAATTTTCTTATTGGTCCCTGCATATTTTATGTCGTTGGTTATTTTTTATTTTTTTTATTTATTTTTTTAGCTGAGCCATCCTGCCGCCTGTTGGCAGCTCAGGGGCAGCTTAGTTCAGGCCAGGCATCGAACCGCTGTTGCTCAGAGCTCACACTCTTGCGCGAGCTCTTAACCAACTGAGCCACTCGGCCGGGTCCTGTCATTGGTTACTTTTGCGACACGAGTTTTCATTTTAAAGAATAAACTTACAGCATAGGTCTTAACGTGTCTCAACTCACTTTTCATCTCATTTCTGAGACATTCATTTTGATCAAATCGTCTCTGCTCAACAGGCCGAATGAATTCATCCCCCAGAGCTGAGGACCCACAGCAGTTCCTGCTCCTCCCGCGACACAGAAGGAAAGACAAAGGTCCCTCACATTCCTTTTGCCTAAAACCGACACTCGAGAGAATGCGGCTTCAGCCGACTGAAATCTCACCACAAAATGAGCGGCAGGTCTGGACACTGGGAGGTCCCCCCCCCGCCAGCCCCTAGGGCCACGTGGGGGACATGGGAAGGGCGCGCCAGGCCCACTCACCTCGGGGATGCAGTCCTCGTGGGTCACCACGCGGACGATGTCGTCCAGCGGGAGCAGCGAGTTGCACTTGATCTCGGTGTACACGTTCTTGCCCTCCGTGCACACAGCCAGGAGCTCGACCAGGTGGATGTGATACATGAGGGGGCTGTTCTCATCCATCCGGTCCCGTTCCGACCTCATCATCTGGATCAGGGTCTGGAAGGAGGCTCTGTCATTGTAGAACACGAGGACGTCCTCGCCCGAGTTCACCAGCTACGGAAAGAACAGCGCGTGTTGGTACCACAAGCTTGTCGGGGCGGGGACAGCGTGAGAGAAAAAGCTCTTTGCAGAGAAAGAGTGGTTCTGTTAGCATCCCAAACCAGTCGCGTCTGTATTACCGAACTCATCGGATTTCATTTGTTTGTATGACTAAACAACTGACAATCTTCAGCAGTGTCATTTTAATCCACAGATACAGAAATAGCACAGTGGCCCTAAAAAAACTATTAGGCGAATGCATACCAGCATTCATGTATGCGGTGGAAATAGAGACTGCAAGCTTGCACTTTCCAAACTGTGAGGCTGTGATTTTTTCTTTGTGAAATGTTTCTCTAAGCTTCGAAAGTATCCCTCTTACGACTCTTTCATACACGGCCTCATCTCTTCCCAGTCTTGAATTATCCACTTCTAATTAAGACACGTCTTCCTTTCAACACCCATGAAAAAGTCAGGCGCTCCGATTCATAACTTGTCCCCCAGGACTGGAGCGTCTCATAAATCTTAAGAATAAACCAATTTCAGCACTGCATGAAATACAAAAGTTCCAAAGAGCCGGTACAGAAGTCAAAATAAATACAGTCAGTATTATTTACATAGTAACAACTCACTTTTATCTCTAATTATATGCCAGACGCTGTGACAAGCTCCTTAGATGGATTTACCTAACCTTGTTGTGCCTCAGTTTTGTCTGTAAAGCTGAGGATAAGTATGCTATCTAACTCATGGTGCTGTCATGTAGATTAAATAAATGATTAAATATAAATTGCCGATGGCAGCGACGGAGTCTGCTGGCTTCCACTAAATGTCACCTATTGCTGTCATCTCATTTAACTCGCTCAAGTGAATTCGGCTATACCTTCATTTTACAGAAAAGCACGTTGAGGATTTGAGAAGCCAAGTGACATGTCCCAAGTCATCAGCCGGGGAAGTGGTACGGCCCACACTCATATCCCAGGTTGAGCTGACTCTTCATTACACTACACTGCCTTCCCTTGGAATCACACGTGTAGATGGGTTATAAAGCCAAGTGTTAGTGGGCTGACTCAAGTTTTCATTTTTTCAAAAGGTGAGAGGTTAAGCCGAGTATACGGGGAAGGCCAAGGTCACGGGTGGCGCAGGGTGTTGACTCTCACACGGAACCAAGTGGGAGTGGCTCCGATGAGTCCACGGACCAGCTTCTCTCATGAATCATCAAGCTACACTTTTTCTAGCTAACTACTTCGGTGATTAATGAAAGAAAAAGTCATATAGCTCACAAGAAGGGAGGCTGCTTTGGCTCACTGGGTTCCATCCACATTTAATCCCTACCAACTGTATTTTATTTTGGTTCATTATTCTTGGTTTGTTCCCCCCCCCCCCCCCGCTCGACCCCCAGAAGAATCTGAGCCAGATGACTAGATTGCTGTAAATCAGATCAGACCTTTGCCTATATCTGCAGTTGACGCTCACAAACAGAAGCGCGCTCCTCTCTCTCTCCCCCCCCACACACACTTTTTGTCCCTTCATATGGCCCTAAAGGAGCCTGCCAATTCACACAGATAAGATTACATAACATTAAACTCTTTAGGGAACACCAGCTGAAGGTATAGAAATAGAGCTGTCACCTCAGCCATGACCATGTCTTGGCACTTTTTAATGAACTTCCCTTCGGCCTTGACAATCGTCTGCAAGAACTTGATGTACTGGACGTTCCGCCCGTGAGTCTCGATGCAGTGAACGAAGTGCTGGACGACCCTCTCGTTGATCTCACTGCACAGCTGGAAGTTGTTCATAAAGATGTGCTGCATCGTCACCGCCTCCAGGATCTGGCAGAGAGTGGGCAGGGTCAGGAGGCTGGGGCAGAGTGCAACGTGGGAGAAGAGGGGTCCACCAAAAACGCGGAGACGCGTCTGCGCCCATGAGGTCTCCCTCCCCAGTCTCGGTGCCTTCCTTCTTGGTAAACTTTCCCACCACGTAATGAGCACACAGAACAAATCACTAGTAATCAGGTACATGGATTACTGAGGGACTATCACCCCCACATCCAGAAATGAAGCAGCCTTAAAGGGGACCACACCCCCAACCCCACTGCTATTGTGACTTTTGCGACCGCCGATGTGTTGTGCCTGTCCTTGAACCTCACACATTCTTTTCTAGGTGGCTCGTTTTGTTCCACGTTACATCTGCAATGTTGTCATCGTGCTGCCGCTTGTGTGAGTAGTTCCTTCCTTGTCACTGCTGCGGATATTTCATTGTATGAATAGACTACAATGTATGTATATCTATTCTGTTGGTGACGGGCACTTGGGGAAGATTCCAGTTTTAATGATAAGTCGTGACACTATTCTTACTAAAAATATTATGAACAGTGCTGCTCTGAACGTTCTTGTATGTGTCTTCAGGGAAACTTAATGTACACATTTCTGTTGGGTTTATACCCAAGAGAGGAATTGCCAGGTTGCAGAGTTTAAATGAGTTCGGCTTTAGAAGACACGTCCAAATAGTTTGCCAAAGATGTTAACAGTTCACATTCTATATTATAGCTATTCCATATCCTTGCTAAAACCTTGTCTTTTTAATTTCAGTCATATCTTACTTAACTTGCATTTCTCTGATGACTGACTATGCTGAGCACGTTGACACATTTACTGGCCATTTGAATGTCCTCTATTGTGGAGTGTCTCATTGTGAAGTTTTTTTGCCCATTTAAAAAAGTGGGTTGACCTTTTCCTTATTGACTTTTCTAAGTTTCTCACATATTCTGGGTATGAATTCTTTATTGGTCTCCGCCGACTCCCCAGCTTGCCTTTGGACACTCTTTATCGTGTCATTTGATGAACAGAAGTTTTCAAAGAAGTCCAATTTATCAATATTTTCCTTTACAATGAGTGTGCTTTTTTGCATACTATGTAAGAAACTTCTCTTTCCACAAAGTCATGAAGATATTTTCATGTTATCTTGTAGAAGCTTTATTTTCTACTTTTTACCCAAGTTTACTGAGATTTTTGTTTGGTATGAGGTGGCGGGCTCTAACGTTTGTTTTTTGCCTTTTCTTTCCCTCAACATGACAAAGAGGGAATATCACCCCCACAATCCAGCAGTCCTTTCTCTGCAAAGCTCTAGCATACTAACGTGTGCATGTGCGTGTGCAAGGATGCCCTGTGTAGTATTGTGTACAAAACCAAAAATTAGACACTGCTTAATTGTCTGTTAATATGAGAACGGTTTTAAAAAAAGTGACAGCCATTCTATGGAATGCCACGTGGCCATCAAAACGAATGACACAAACTTACGCATCTCTGACTTGCAAAGACAGCCACAATGAGTTAAACGAGAAAGCAAAATGCAAAACAATGTGTGGGTGTGCCCCCATTTTTCTTTAAGAACTGCGTAATACACGTTCAATATATTTAAAAAACATATTTAACAAACTGAAGTGTTACACAGCTATGTCGCTCATGGCTATGTGACGTATGTGTGTGAACACGGAGAACTTACGCCTGACTGACCTCGGGAGCGTATGGCTGGAGAGAGAATTAGCAAACTTCTCTGTGGCTGAAGTTTGACATCATGAGGAATTTTTTTATTTTTTGTAATGAGAAACATTATTTTTTAAATATATAAACATATCTTACCTTGTCCACCTCCTCCTCCCTCCCCTGAAAAGATGGGGGGACTTATGTCCTCCTGGGAGTGGACCAAAATGTGCCCCATCCCCATGGAGTGAGTGTTGCACTGACACGTCCCGGAGGCCACCGCAGCAGAGGTCCATCGGCAGCCCGCCCTCCTCCCCATGCAGTTTCCAGCTGGGCCTTGGGTCTTACCCCCGGGTTCAGGAACAGGTTGATGTGCTTGTGCAGTAAAGCCTGGTTCTGTTGGTTGCCTGCACAGAAGTTCTGCAGAAACTCATGCGCCAGCCTCATGATCTCCTGCATCTTGGTGTCCTCGGCCTGCGTGGGAGGGGGCAGATGCACCTGGGCTGAAGTCGGGGCTGTGCGATGGACAAGGGTGTTCCGCAGGAGAAGGCACTCATCTCCAGGCGGGGAGACCGGGTTCTCCGACACGCCCACCCCTAACCGTAGGGCTCCAGCTAGCTGACCTGCTCGCACAGACCAAGCCGCCCTACCCAATGTGGCGTGGGACTGGGGAGAATAAGCGCACTCGTCTTTCCGTCTAGAATCTTAAAATCAGAGGAAGGTTATGTGCGGCTTGATTTATTTTTATGATACTGCTTGTTGCATATAAATGACCTCAAACTGCTTTATAGTCACAATCCTCACCCCGGCTTTGCTTCTTCACCACCAACATCCAAAGGGGAAGAGGACTTGGGGACATTGGGCCCCCGCCCTCCCCGGGACGGGGCGCACCTTCTCGTAGGGGATCTGCAGCAGCTCCAGCACCACCGCGTGTGCACTCATGTTCCGCAGCAGACGCTGCTGCTGCTTCCGGCTCTTCCGCACAGCCGCGCTCTCCTGCACACACAGCTTGCTGAGCCGGATCAGAATCTGGGGAGAAGGGACGGTTGTGCCTTGTCACCAACACTCAGTGCTGAGGATCTGACATGCACCATGGTGACCACAGTCGATACGACCGTGCCGTGTACTTGTAATGTGCTGAGACAGCAGATCTTAAACGTTCTCCTCCACCCCCACTCCCGAAAACGCTGTCAGTGGTGGATGTGCTCATCCATTTGACTGTGGCCATCATGTCGCGTGTCTGTGTATATCAAATCCTCATGCTGTACACTTTAAGTATATTGCAATTTTGTCAGTTATACCTCTGTGAAGCTGGAAAAAAATTTTAAAACATAGACATCAACCAACCTCCGAAAACTAGGAACCACAGTTGGAAAAAAACTGCAAGGGGTGGTGGTGGGCAGGGGGGCAAAAGGGATCACAATACCTTAAAAACCTAAAACAAGGGAAATTCATCCAATATGATACCCCTGTTGATGGCATCACACCAAATCCACATGTGACTGAGGACATGTCCTTCCAGCGTAACCAGTGGATTATGGCTTCAGCAGTAAGTGGGGTGGTTTCAGAGAGCTCCCTCACAGTGGTGACACTTGGCATCATTGCCAAGGATGTGGGAAGAGCCTGCTCTGGGGTCGAAGGAAAGCTCCAACCGCCCAGCTCTGACCCACCCTACGCAGAGGTTTCTAGAGAACGACAGCTCTCAGTGGCGGACACTGTGCGCCAGGCACCGAGATAAATCCTTGACAGTTAAGTCACTGAACCCTTCCTTCAAGTGTAAACCTTCAAAAGTATCTTTGCATCTATGAAAGGTGAGGAAACTGAGGTCCTGCAAATAACAAGTGGCAGAGCTGGACTCGAACGCAGATCTGACGCGAAAACGCATGCACTTAACCTCCTGGGTCTGCTGTCTCCCTGTTACCCTGTACACGAAGAAAACGCTCGTGTGCACCTTCCACCTGAGTATCACACACTTACAGAGCCTGAGAGGACACAGAAGGGCAGATGGCGGTGGGGACACTCACCTCCTTCACCACCCTGTAGTTGTAGCTGCTGGTGCTCTCATGCTTCTGTGGCTTGTTATTCCCCTCCTAGGGACCAAAGTGAACATGGGTGGTTTGTACGGCTTTTGGGCGACTGTCCATTTTTCAGGGTTAACAGCACCCTTTACGAGAGAACGGGGGGTTTGCAATGTTTTCCCACAGCTGTGCTGAGTTTGTGCCCATCCAGGCAACTGCCTTCTGACTGATGTTACTTCGCTGATGTGGGAGATGATGGTGGGCCAGGCCCTGGGCGGAAAACAGGTTCTTTCCCAAGCGGGGCTGTTAGGGGGGCCTGGTCTAATTCACTCAACAACGAAGTCGATTCTACAGGGTCCAAGGTGAGCGGGGGAATTAGCTGGAGTTCCACGTGTAGCTTATCACCTAGGAGACCAGCTGTTACCCTGGCTATTTAACAAGCAGACCTCTTGAGAAGAAAGCCCATCCCCCAGCCTGCACGGTTGTCTAAAACCAGAGGACGTTTGCTCGTTTCGAGGGCCCCTCCCTCTCCTTTGGCAGCAGCATTGCTCGTGCTTCACCCACCTCTGTTTTCTTATGTTCGTTTTCTCCCGACGCACCATCCATGGCCTCGTCGGGGCCCTGCCCTTTGTACACCCACAGCTCTGACTTCTCCACGATGGACCTCAGCTGATCCAAGTCCTGTTTGATCTGTTTGTAGTTGTCAACATCTTGGCTGGTGACAAGCAGTTGAACCTGAACGAATGCAATCCCTTAGTCGCACGCCACAGCCTCTTGCACAAACGACAATACCCGCACACGTGCACACGCGCACCCACGGCCACCTGGTCTACCTGTTTGAAGGCCTGCAGGACCTCCTGCCTCTGACTGAAGTGCCGAAAGAGCAGCTGCAGGGCGCCCGACACCAGGGGTGGGTAGTCGTGCATTGTCAAATGGAGCAGGACTCGGAGGAATGTCCGGCCACCGTGGTCGTCCAGGTCCAGCGGGGTGTTCTCCTCACTGAAGGGGTGTGGGAGGGGAAAGGCCAGGTGAGCCACAAACGCCCTCCCTCATGCACCTTGGCCCAGACCCGACTCAGCGGTTAGCTTCCCAACCCTGGAGGCTACCTCACGTGATCTTGTTTCATCTTCAACTCTACTACGAGGTTAGGGGACAAGATGTCACTATTTTAAACCAAAGTCCCAACCTCCCACAGTGACAGGACTGGCTTTGCCAGCAGATGACCAGCTCCTCGGCTGGGGTTTCTTCTGCTGGGCCTCATGTGTGGTTGCAGAACTGCACACAACGGTGTTTCGCCTGAGCTCTTAGCTTATTGGTTAAGACGCTGTCACTCAGGGTCTACCAAACATTTATGGTGAAGGACCGGCTTTTGTTGTTTCCAGGTTGTGGCCAACGGATGTCTTAGCCCATACCAAGTCGACTGGTCAGGCACCTGACGCCAGGGTGGTGTCACAGTGCCCCAAAAGGGCCCGAATGCTGACTCCCGTAATCCGTATTTATCGCATTACCAACTGGTGGTGAGCCGAGACCTGCAGACCCCACTCTGAGGAGTGTTGCCATGAACCATTGCCAGTCAGTGCTCTTCCAATGGGGTGATCAGCATAGCGCCAGGGTGTTATTTATACAACCAAATAACATCTGTGGGTTGTTTACATAATTAAAATACTAATCATGTGCTGCATCAAATGACAGGCCACCGCATAGCTGAGCATGGCCACTCAACTGCTGTGCCAGCGTCTGTATAGTGTTTATGATTGAACGTCACGTGGTGAGACCTTCAGGGCGGCAGGCAGCAAGAAGACCATTGGCCTTAACGCATAAGCGCTCCTCGTGCTCCATGCTCCAAAACAGTGAGAAGGTTTCGAAGCTGCTCAACGTCAGGAAGATGGCGGAAGAGCCCAGGCACGACCCAGCACACGGAAGTGTGGTCGTGCTGAACTCAAAATGCCCGGTGTTTCAGAAAAACATCATCTTCCATGTAATGAGTAATGTCGCTAATTCAAACTTCACAGGTTCTGTATTGAGTGTCAAGGTAAATTCCTAACAATGGTGGCCTCCAACGAAGTGGGCCCTCCTGGTGTACACCCTTATGCAGGCCCCGCCCACACTGACACTGGGCTCAGCCAAGTGACCTGCTTTGACCAATAGGATGTTAGCAACATGAGGCAAACAGAGACTTGATTAGTGTTTGCATGTTGTTGGCCTGTCCTCTGGGGGCCTTTCTTTGCACGTAGAGCTAGTCCCTATGCCATAAAGAAGCCCCTGGTATTCATGAACATGGAGAGGTCCCAGCTTCACAGACAGCCCTACCAAGGAGCCAGAAATGTGAGTAAAGCAAGTTGGAAGTGCCAGCCCTAGTCACTAGCTCACCACGGTCACACGACAGAGCCCACAGTGGCCAGCACAAGAACCATCCAGCTTAGGCCCAGTCACCCCACAGAATTGTGAGAGGCAATACAAATGATTAATGTTTTAGTCCATTAAGTTGGTCACAGAGCAAGAGACAACTGAGCCAGGTGTGTCCTTTGTAAGAACTATGTGCGAAGGGTGTTTATATCAGGTCTGTAGGTATCTGAGTCTCACAATCATGTTTTAAGTCAACATTGAGCGATCTGATCTTTCAAAAAGGGGTTCATACAATCATGTTAGGGATGATGAATGAGTCATACTTGTGTTATGGTTGTTGCTCCCTGGGCTCCAAATAGCTCAGGGGTGAAAACTAGCCCACAGCACGAAGGTATACCAGCTTGCTAACCTCGTCCCCTGATAACCCTCCTCTTTCTTACGACCCTACTTCCCACCATTTAACTAATCTTGGGATGTATTTTGGGGAAACCTCCTTAAATCCTTTCCATCGTAGGCAGAAAACACACACCCACCCCAAGCCAGCTACGATCATGTGGCCCTGAGCACTGAGAGTTACAGGGACCAGGGAAGCCACCTAACCCCAAACACTGAGCTTTTCGGGGTGCAGCGAAGCCCCCTTTGAGGGCTGGAGAAGAGGAGCCTCCCCATCTCAGAACCACCAACAAAACAGTAACTGAAAATATACTTTCCTTCCTCCGAAGATGCCTTCTGCTTGTTCTTCAATGTGTTCGAAGTCAAGAGCGCCTGAAAAGGCAGAGAACACAACTTCAGAGGCAGGACGGTCTGAAAACGTTCTGTGGTGCACTTGCCCTGCCCGGGGTCAGGCTCAAGTTCCGGGATCTTATCCGGCCAAGCTCTGAGCCAGGTCAACTCAGACCACTCTCTCCAACGGCTCGGGTGTGCGGCGCTCCCCACCACTGCCGGTGTCCACTCCCTGGTGACCCCTCGTTACGGCTCGGGTGTGCGGCGCTCCACACCACTGCCGGTGTCCACTCCCTGGTGACCCCTCATTACAGCACAGGGACGCCACTGCCGGTGTCCACTCCCTGGTGACCCCTCGTTACAGCACAGGGACGCCTTTGCTCGAAGGGAGCTCAGGCCTCGAGAGGTGGGATTGTCTCCACGGCCACCCTTCCCCTGGTCCTTCACCGCTATTTCCTAGGCAGGGAAAAAACATCCGTCCAGAGTAGAAATTGCTAGTGGACAGTAAGTTTTCTCGGGTTTTTTTTTCTTGGCCGTCAGCTGTCTTAGGGCCAAGACAATCCAGGAAGGAGGGAAAAAGATCTACCCCAGAAGGCGTCTGGGCTCTTTTAATTATTCCCCTGCCCAAAAAGGAGAACTCTGAGCATCTCGTTTTAAAATACAATAACCTCCGAAAACATGCACATGTTACCCTCTTTCTAGAACATACCGCCTGAACCCCAGTTCTCACGAGACCCAGGCCCCGCTCTGTGGCTGCAGTCCGTTCCGGAAGCACTAACCTGGTACGTTACTGGGCCCCTCTTGGCTGCTGCTTCCAGACGAGGTCTCTGAAGTCTGGGAATTGCTTTCGTCAAACTCGCGCTTAAATATGCACAGGAGGCAGGAGATCCTATAGTCCAACCTCACGTTCAAAATAAACTAAAGATTCAAGTGGAAACGGAAACAGATTGGTTACATGAGCAAGCCACCTGTGACCCGTCGCCAAGCCGCTGCACGCGGCTGGGCCTGCCATCTGCTGCAGCAATTACCTTAAACACTAAGCGAGTCAAACACTTGGCTTGGATTTCAGCAGTCGCTTTACCAACAGACTTCTGTGGGGTACAGATCAAGTCTGCCCACGGCACCTTGGCTTCTAGTGCAAACTGCAGCACCCATAATGGATCTAATAACTGCAAAACAGAGCACTCGCCCGCCACTCCATGAAACACTGCTGTGTTTCAGCATCTACTAAGTGCCAGCGCAGGCCCGACAAAGGGGGAAAAGCTGGTGCTTTTCACGGAAGATGGTTAACAAGGAAAAACATGTTTTTGCCCCCTGGAAATAGCTTGGTTCCTGTTTTTATTTTTGACTCTTTCCTTTGATTTACTGGGTTGTCAGAAAAGTCATGATGCATTTTTGCAACGAAAAACACAGAAAAAATATGTCATGACTTTTCCAACAACCCAATAGATACAAGTCCTCACACTCCGTCTTCTCTCACTTCCTGTGTTCCCCTGGCTCTCGCCTCCAACACAAGGTCACTTCCATGACTGTCACTAGAGCCCAAAAGAAAGGTCAACAACCTGGCATCATCATTATTCTTATTTTTAAAGATTTTACTGGGGAATTGGGGGAGGGGAACAGTGCTGGGGAATTGGGGAAGGGGACCAGCCAAGTTGTTGTCCTTCAATCTTTGTTGTAGAGGGCGCCAATCGCCATCTGGCTGCCCGTCGGCAGTTCGTGGACTCTAAGCTCAAGGTGCTGTGTTCGATCTTTGTTGCGGGTGGGTGTAGCCACTGTCGCATGCGGGAGTCGAACCAGCAGCCTTGTTGTTAAGAGCGCACGCCCTATCCACTGAGCCATCCGGGTGGCAGCTAAGCTCAAGGTGCCAAGTTCAGTCTTAGCTACAGGTGGGCATAGCCACCATCGAACAGGCAATCTTGTTACACCAGCTGAGCCATCCTGCCAACTGTTGGCAGCTCAGCAACAGCTCAGCTCAGGCGCAGCATCACTGGCCCATGTGGGAATCAAACCGGTGGCCCTGTTGCTCAGCGCTCGCACTCTTAAGCTAACTCTTAACCAACTGAGCCACTCGGCCAGCCCCAACCTGGCATTATTTGAGGACCTTACTGGCACTCTCCCTTCCATCCTCGCCTCGCCACTGCCTGCCCTCTTGGTGGCCTTGCTCGATCGCAGGGCTGTCACCTCTTCCAGATTGAGACCATCCCTGGCCTTGCCTTCCAAGCTCTTGGTCCACATTTCCTTCTGACCATTGGGCATCCCATTTGGTGTTTTCTCCGAATGCCAAGGTCAAACTGCGGCTTGTACAGAACGAACAGTGCCAGCCCAGCCCGGGTTCTCTCACCCTCAGGCCCTCAGGACCACTGGCTGCTCCTTCTTTGACACGCACATCTTTTCAACGGTGAGTCCTGTTGGTGCTACCCCTGCCACTTCTCGTGCGTCACTTACATCTGTCACTTACATCTGTTCACATTCTCACTACCTCCTGCCTTGGCCACTACAGAACCAAAGTTACAGGACCCACCTCCCAAGCGTGCCTATCTTAGCTCAGCCCCTGCTTGAACACCATCGAAGGCGTGCCACAGAATAAAGTGCTGGCACGTGAGGCACCCAGAGCTCTCTGGAGCACGGCCCCCTCCTTTCTAGCCTCATTCCCCACAACGTCCCTTCCACACACTGTGTCCCCCGCCCAAGAAGACATGCTCGCTGACCTGTGTGCCACGATGCCCTGGTCCAATCTGCTCCCTCCACCTGAGAACGTCCCCTTGTTTCTATGCTATAAATCCCGGCCACGCTGAAATCTCAGCTGAAAGCCCACCTCCTCTGTAAAGCCTCCAGTCCTTACTAGGTGGGATCACACGAGCCACCCGTGTCTCAGGAGAAAGCTCTCATGGTTGTATTTCCGCATACACACAGCCTCAGCACACCTTATGGACCACTTAGGTTATAACCCCTTGTGGATGCGATCACACCTGTGCATTCCTCGTAGTGCTCAGCCAAGTGCCTTTCACGTGGCAGGGGGTCTTAAGTATTTGCTTGAAAGACTGATCCATCAACCAATTATTCTCAAATTGCTACAGCGAGTGGCCCTCAAGACGGCCGAGTTTCACATCACCCCATTTCTGATAAACACCCACGACATTAACATATGTGGGACACACAGGTCGTGGCCTAAAAAATCCTTCTCTGCTTTCGGTCAGGCATAAACTCAATGAGGTTTCTCTTGAAGTCATTCTTTATTGCCTTAAACAGTTACTTTCACGAGTCCCACGGATGCTTTCCAACAACTGGTGAAATGTGATTTCAGAATAAAATAAATCCTAAAGTCTGTAAATATTTCTAAGTGTCTACTACATGTTCTGGGGTTGGGAGGAGGCAGCACGGGATAAGAGAGAAAGACAGCAGTGTTTTTTTCATTTAGGGGCAAATCATTTTGTTGCTGAATAGAAATTACTTTGGAGCAGGAAGAGGAGAGCAGGCTGCTGGGAGGCTGGCAGGGTCTCCTACCTGAGACCAAGGCCTCCGTCGGGGACAGGCTCCAGCCCCTTGCCCACGAATGGACGCTGCCCCTACGATTCTCTTCTCTCTCCTACGTCAAGCTTTCCCTCTCCACATGACTGTTCCTGCTCAGCACACCGGTTCACCATAACCTCCCAACTTAAAAAATGTTACAGCAAAGCCGACCTGGTCCCTCGGCCACCCTCTAGTCGTCTCCCAGTCCTCTGTGTGTCTTTCCAGCAAACCCACTGAAAAGTGTTTGTGCTGAGCCCTCCCCCACCATTCATCTTCTCCTACCCCCGCCGAACCCAACCTATTCCCAGGCTCGCCAAGGTCGCCTCCACTTCAGGGTCTTTTCAGACGCGGTTCTCTCTGCCTCAGAGGCTCTTCCTGCAGATCCACATGCCGGCTCCCTCACTCCGCTCAGGTCTCTGATCACTGGAGAGGGCGCCTCCGACAGCCCACCAAAAACAGTATCCCTGGTCCCCGTCCCCAGTGGCCTCCAAACCATCCTGACCCCCCCCTTTATATCTTAACATCCTTAACATTCATCACTATCTGACACAGCATATGCATTTTAAGAAATATGTCCATGCCTCCTATCAAAATGAAAGCTCTTTCGAAGCAGGAATTTAATCTATTTTGTTCACTGCTGGATTCCTAACGTTTAAAGTTGCTTGCCACAGAATCAGTTTCAGTAAGTATTTGTTGAATGAATGAATGAATGAACAAATGAATGAAGAAGGGCAGGAGTGAGGCAGGCAGGCACTGCAGAGTCCACAGAATCCTGAAATGAGTCCTGAACAGCAGCAAGCGGGGAAGCCAGCTCCATTCAGAAGCACAAGTGAGTTCTATGCACAGACAGTGGCCTGGGTGAGACACAGAGGCAAATGACACGGAAGCTGAGGTACCCACAGGAAGTTCGGGCATGCCTGGAGGGACAGGGGCACGCTGGGAAGGGGAGGAGGTGGAGTAGAGGGATGAAGACGCCTGACTCACACGTGGCACCTAAGGCTGAGCTGAGCATATAGCTCCTTCCTCTTCCCCAGAGCCAAGAGCTGCACCAAAGCAGGACACCGCCCTGCCCCCAGCGGCGCCCGTGACACCGCCCCGCCCCCCACCCCTGGCTGACAGGCACCTGCAGTATCTCGATGATCTTCAGCTTGGTGTCCATGACCATGACGTCCTCCTTCTCTGGCTCCGCCTGCTTCACGCTGCCTTCGGGGGCCGCAGCCATGGGGGTCACGGGCAGAAAGCCCCCTCCCCGCAGCACCACCTGGGTCATCAGCTCCCCGACCCCATGGATGGACCGCATCACGTTACTGCCTAGAGGGGCCAGGACACACCTGGGTGGTAACAACGTCCCTAGAGCGTGCTGAGGCACCTGGCAAGGGGGCCTGGGCTCTTGGGACAAATTATTTAACATGTCCCTCTAACCCCAGGAACCTGAAAAGGTTCGTACACATCAAAGCCTGGGGGATCCCGGGAGTGGTGAAAGCTGTGGGTTCTGAAGCCCCTACGGGAGCATTTGTGTGTATTAATTCACTTGCCAAATGTTACTGGTCACCTACTACGTGTCTGTTTCTGTGCATAGAAGTGGGACACAGGACTTAACAAGGCACAAAGCTGGTGCTGTACCAACGGCCGCGTGGTCCTGAGCACATGGTGTGACCTCGGAGGCTCAGTCTTGTCGTCGACTAAATGACAATAAAGGAGCTCAGTGACAGGATTAAATGGTAAAATGTACGCGGAATGACCAAGCACAGGCCCTACATGACTGACCATATTTTCCTGTTCTGGCTGTAGGGCCGCGTTAGACAACAGTTCAGGCATGAGTACCTGACATGTGCCTGCTCTGACCTCAAACAGAGGATAAAACAGCCATATAAGGGCAGACTTTCCTGGTCACAAACTGGAAACAAGGTACCCACATAAGCCTGGATTTTAGGTCATCGTGCACTACTAGAATCATCGAGAGCCTTGTGACACATCGACAACAATGACAGGGCCTGTATTTGTAAGACAGGAGCATGAAAGTTGTAGGTAATGTTAGGTAACTTTCATTCGATTCAGAATGTACACACTCTTATTTTTCTTTATATTCAAAATGCTCAGAGTGAAAAGGCAGGAACAGACGGCACGGCATCCCAGGAGGGGTGACAGGAGAGGCTGGGGAGGCCGGTCGCGGTGTGCGGGCACCATCAGGTCTCCCGCAGCTGCTCCGCATCTGTCTCACCTTTATTCTCTTCCCCTTTGGCCATCTTGCTGATGGGGAAGACGGTCGCCACGTGCACACAGTCCAGGATGGCCAGGAGGATTTTGGTTAATCGTAGAAGGTCAGAGAAGTTGTAGAAGCCAAAATATATGAGGTTCCTAGCTAAATTTACAACCTATT